AAAACACTAACAACAGGTAGCATTACAGTGGATGCATCATTTTGTTGGAATCTTTGAAGTAGTAAATAATTTTGAGTTCTTTATTTTTTGGTTGTGTGTATGTACATTTATATTTTTTATTGTTGATAATAGAAGAAACGTGTACATTGTCTTATTTAACAGTAAATAAAGTTCCACTTATGAAATATAGTAAGAATGGTAAATCTTCATACAATGTACAACAGCATACAACAGGAAGTTGCATCGAAATGCAACAGGAAAACAGGAAAAGCTTCACAGGGCTTTATTCTACAGTAAATGAAAATTGCAAGGGAAACAAAAGTCAGCACAGTAAATGCTTGCTTAAAAAACTCTTGTATCTGTGTAGCAGCACTCCATCAGAGGATATCACTGCACACATGGTAACATTGGCACCCCTTTGGCCCGGGACACCCACTTTAGCTCTTTTGCCAATCAAATTCTGTCCTCGCAAGCGTGTTGTGGCCATGTCCACGTAGATAAAGCACGGGTTGTGTGATGGGCTTCCAGCTCCATGACTCTCTAAAAGATATCTCCCCTTTGGGGGTTAGTCATTGGGTCCTAAAGAAGAAATACAAGAATTTCTCCTCCATCTCTTGCAGGCTCCAGTGGAGTGGATGTGAAACAAAACATTCTAAAGATGTCTCCTTTTATAGGTGGTAATGAGATCACTAGGTGAAAAGACCAGGGTAGGGCTATACAGTTTTTTTCAACTGCTAACAAGCATTTACCTAAACTCAAGATACTTTATACCTACCTCACACAATTAGCCAAATAGTACATTTTCTGCTCAAAACCACATTTTGTTCTTTCAACACAAACTCTACATTTTAAGATGCAAAATAACATTCTCTGCATACGCAAACTCTACCAAAACACAGCAAACCTGACTCAAAATCAAATCATTCTGTCAAAACACTAGCACAATTTCTTTCCAAAAGATACAGATCAATCAATCACAACCTTTTAAATGCAAACAGTTGATGGCATTACTGAAACTGCATTACTTTTCATGTTTCAGATCTACCAGCAAACAGTAGACAATGCGAAATGTGACAATGTGTTTTTTGATATTCAGCTTCCTTTTACTGTAAACCACCCTACATTTTTAGCTTGAGGGTTGAATGTGTGCATTTTTGTCAACAAACTATGCAAAAGTGAATGAGTCATCTTTACTTTATAGAATGTATAGTAGAAAAAAATAGTGACAAAATTACAGAAGTTAAAGCTTTATTTTCAACATGAAATTCAGCCAGTGATCAACAAATAATCCAAACTATGTGGCCTTTGGTTCAAAATGTGGCAAAATATTGTCAGATACACAATTTGACAACACAAAAAGAGACAGATGGGAAAGAAACAAAATGCACAGTCCTGTTCTAATCCTCAGCATTTGGCCACATGTTCTCATCCACATCACATCAAATGTCATCTCTTGCTATGCACCTTGGATAGAAACGCTTGGGATGCCTTATCCACCCCTGGCAGTCTTCAGCTGAGATGTCTCTGCAGCCGGCATCCATTGCATCAAGTAGAGACATTTGGTCATGTGGCTGATGATCGTACACTTTCCACCTCCAGGAAGAAAAATATTCCTCAATGGGGTTGAGGAAAGGCGAGTAAGGGGGGAGGAAAAGGGAAACCATTCTTGGATGGGCCGCAAACCAGTTTGTGATTGCATGTGCATGGTGATATGCAACATTGTCCCATGCAATTACAAATGTCCGCAGGTTTCCTCCAACCTGTTCCCTTTCTGCTTCTGGCACGAGTTGTTGGTGGAGGTCATCTAAAAACAAAAGAAGTCTCTCGGTATTGTAGGGACCAATCTGGCATTTGTCCAGACCCAAACCAGCACTTGAGATTGCAGCACACATTGTAATATTTACCCCTCTCTGACCCGGCACATGAATGGTGGCCCTTTTTCCAATGATGTTTCTTCCCCGCCGACGTTTCTTTGCCAGGTTAAACCCTGCCTCGTCCACATAAATGGTATCATGTGGGGTTTGATTAGTCTCGAACTCCATGACTCTCTGAGGGATATCCAACACAGTATTAGTACCGTAACTCATGTTTACATGTAAAGCAACAAAACTCACTATAGAACAAGACATATTGGACAGACACCATACCTGGACGTATTGGTGTCTGAGTTCCTTGACCCGCTCACTGTTCCTTTCAAAAGGAACTGTTTACAACTGTTTCATCCAAACTCTGTGTTTGCTCAGAGTCCGAGCAATGGTGGTCAGGCTAATGCTTTCCACATTGTGAAATACCAAGTTGTCTTTAACAATTCTGGTCTGAATTTCTCTCAGTTTTATTGCAATGACCAGTCCTACAATGGCATACTCTTGGTCTTCACTGAGAAGTTTTCCTCTTCCACCAGATGGAGGGATACGTTGCATCTAGAGGAACAAAAATACAACATACTGTATTTGCATTGGGACTGGTGGCCTACAGTTACTATGAGAGATAGCAACTTTACTGTAATGATAGAGGAAGCCCATGTGAAATCACTGTAATTGCTTACCTGTTGGTTTGTTGAAAAATCTGGATAATGGAAACCACGGTAGACCGTCTGAGATTAGGCTGGACTCTTTCACCAGCCTCTCTCATTGGTTGCTGTTATTTCATTAGTGACAACAGCTCTCCTTTGAACACCACCACGCATTCTTACTCCTCTCCCCCTACCTCTCCTTCTCCCTGGTTCTGGTCTAATTACTCCTCTCCCTGGTTGAGCTACTCCTCTCCCTGGCTCTCTTCCTCTCCCTGGTCCAACTATTCGTCTG